TTAAACTTGCTTCCTCTAAATGAGCATCCGTAACGGAAATTTATATCAAGTGCGTTTCACTCAAACTCTACGGTTTTCTTGTTCTAAAAACATAGAATCTATCTAACAAAACTTTTAGGATCCCATGTAATGAAGTAAACTATTGTTATAGATAATATTAATATAGGGTTTCGTTCAAAGTATAGCAATGATGATCTGGTTGAGGTTATAAGGCCTAATCGATGTATAAACTATGGTGCACCCTAAATAATAATACCTTTTGGAAGGAAGAAAACATGAAACTCAATGAAACTGTAAGCTTTACTCATATGATTGAGGGAAAATTTAACTATTAGTCCTTTATCAGCTTGAACGAATTAGGATGAACACAGTTCATATATCTAATTTACTGCCGGTCTTGAAAACGTACTCAAAAACGTACTCAAAAACGTAATTGTTTTTACCGTTTAGTTCAATGCAATTGCCGATTAAGTTTTATTCATTATAGAAATTTCGCTTGATGAATGTTTAGTATGAATGTTGTATAAACTTCATTCAGGTCATAATTAATAAGGCATTTTAGCAGACATATATATTTGTTTTATAATATAGACAAACGAATTTGCTGTATATGCATTGCTCTCTGACCCTATTCGTATACACTTTCTCATACAGCAAACTAGCTGTTCGCATTCAGACGTATAGAATTATGTAATAAAGTCGATTTATGATATGAAGAAAAAGGCCAACCTGTAAGTCGTCAGGAAGTGTGTATTCAAAGGGTATTCCCAGCTGAAACGGAAGTTCGATGCAGGCATTCTGGTGAGTCGGGCCTATTTGCGCTAGGCTCGGAGGCGTCATTGATGCGACCTCCAACTGGGCTGCTGACATCCAGAAAGCCAAAGCTAGACTCGCCATCGTCCACAGAAGCCGGACATCATCAGACCTGCTCAATGCAGTAACAAGCATCTCGCCATCTATCGTGCAAGATGGGCAGCAGAGCTATCGTACAAATCGAGGATTTATGAGTTTTTTGTATGATTGTCTGCCTATGCGAGCATAAAGTTGCTACAGAAACACGAGAGTGTGGTTTTCGCTTGTCTGACAGTAATCCAATGTCGATTTAAACAAATGCCGCGAATGGTGTATTAATAATATATCTTAACAGAATTTTCCTACTAACCGACCGACGATAACATGAATGCCTTTTGTTGTCGATGCTACTTATTGTTGCGTGAAAACGCGTGATAAGTAGAAGGATATTGACAAATAAAACACACAATTGAACTGGCCTACGTTCCGCACTGGCCACAGTTTGACTGGCATTAGTGAGCCAGGGTTGGTTCATACTCAGGCAATCCCTTGTGTGAGATATGCCCAAAAGATGTCTATATGCTAATGTGCATGTCGATGTGGAATGGTGTTGACAGCACGCACAGCTTCCAGAGACACGCTTCAACCGGTCAGCTGACCACGATCTACCGTCTCAGCAACGCCCCAGGTTACAGGTCGTGCTATTTTCTCGGCTTAATACGTGCGCCTCGTCAGAATAAAAGAGCATACAGAAGTCTGATGCAAATCTATCTCGGCATATATCTGTTCTTTTATTCATCTGTCTATGCATGTGTGTGTTGGTGGATGTTAGTTAACAGTCGGTAATGAGTAGTCTTTCTCGTGTGATACAGTAGTTCGTAGGCGATTGTGAGTTGCCTTGATGGTAAGTCAGACAACCGGCTAGATTGCATATAGCAATAGATAGAGTAACCCATCTGGATGCTTGGCTGAAGAGGAGAGAAGAAGGAAGCTGAAGCAAGGGAGACAAACAGGTAGATGCTGAGGGACGAAAGGATGGCTAGACAGGCGAAGTCTATACCGGCCAGTCTGTACCGCTGAGGGACAAAACGACATGAAAGTCCAATCAGGTGAGTCGGGTTGCTATTGCTGTGGCTACTGTAGTGGGACAAGAGAGTGGAAAGAGCCTAGTTTGCGAATTAGCAAGCCGATCTGCAACCTGTCCTTGATGCCTCAATTAGAGCAGCCTGTGAGAAAGATGGATGAAAAGCATAATTTGGTCTATCGCAATGGGGTAACCGCAAAGGTGCTTCTGATGGTAAGAGCTCATGGTTGATAAATAGACGAGAAGGTGAGACGGATCCAGAGAGCTATCACATTGAAAATTTGTGCTTATTAATTATTGTTATAAAGTAATAGTTAACTTAAATAAACAAAAAATGGAGAACTTTCACTTTTCATACCAGTACTTCGGTAAAAATGAATATACATTCCAATAAAACTATCGTAATGTATCTTCTGAAGATGATGAAAGTTTATTAACAAAATTACCTCATTTTGCATAATTTGGGCTTATGAATCATCGAAAACAGGCAGGCTCAAGTATGTATCGTTTTTTGACAACGAAAACAGTATTTGCTAACTTTCAGACAATCTGGAAATTCGCCTCATTTTGTTGGGAATGCTAAAGCGGATTTAAGCTGAATAATCAAATTATAGTAAGTTTCCTTATACTTTCAGACTTTCAGTTCTTGATTCTAGCGCCAAACCTGTTTGAGCCTATCAAGCCAGTGCGCTCATATCAGTCAATCTTTTAATCACGATTTTTTATTTACTTTGATTTCTTCATTTGCCTCACATCACACTCTTTCGCGATAACCATTATCTCCAAGCTCGTCTGCATTCTCTGCAATTAAGAAGTCTCATGAGCCTCATTTAATTAATCTTTGCTATCAGTCCACTGGTAAATTGGCACATGAAGACCTATTTTTTAAATATTATATTTGCTTACTTCCAGTAGAAATTAGAATATTTCCTCCTTATTGATGATATTTCAGACATAAGGGCGATCTCTCTACACCTTCAATTTAGGGGTCAAAAAGTAATTTAGCAGATCCTACATCAGACATGAACATCTAAAAAAATAGGATAATCAGCCCGTGAAAAGTTCTTCTCTTAAAAGTTAGGCATCGGTGCTGGATAAATGCTTCAAATCTATAAATGATTCTGTCGAGTTTTCTTTAAAGTCAGTATGAGTCATTATTAACAAAGAAATTAAATATTTAGTCTCACATTTGTAATTCTATTTAAAATATAATGGATTTTTAATTGTCGTAATCATATTCGCAAAATATGCATAAGAATTTGCTGATAAATATGATTTCGCATTTCTATTTATATATGTTTTGAGTAGGTTTAAGACGAGGATTAAATTATGAAAAGTCCTTAATACACCCTAGCTAATCTTTATATTCAGCTTTATTATACCGTGGTTAGCGTATGCTGAAGATGATCATTAATTTAATTATTAGTATAAATTAAGCGAAAGTATTAAGACCAAGATGGTGCGGCCTTTTGTGTGGTCGCAGAATCCTTTCGTTGTATAGAAACTTTTTAACCTTGTTTTTGCAACTTGGCACAAGAACAATTGTAACATTAAAATCGTGATAGGATAAGATAGGAAATAAGAATAGGCTAGGGCAGAAGAGGAGATACCACAACTGTTTAGCACATGTTTGGTCAAAGTATCGGCTTATCTTGTCTCTTTTGACGAGTAGTAGTGTGGTGCTAACAGTGGCAATGCTCACTAACGATGCCGGCGAAACGTCTTGGAATGTATCACGTCTACGGTCCCACTTTGCGAATGATCATGCATACAGTTACGTTTCTCTAAGTCTTCCTACAGTTATGACCAAGTTGCGAATGCAAGATCAAACAACTTCTATATAAATTAAAGTTTATGAATATCTCTGCTCATAAAATAGGGCAATAAATTTAATTAGAGTTTCATATTTCAAACTACATCAATTTGTTAGTTAGTTTGTTTCCTGACAAGAAAATTAAGTTTCTGCATGCACTCTGAACGGATTGATAATTGTCCTAAGAAGAAATGTAATTCACTCAACATGAAAGATTTGTCCTACTGCCATATAACTCTATATTATAATGGGTTTATTTATTGTGAGAGACTCTCACTTAGCCAATATCCTTTTTAAAAACCCCGACGGAGAATATTAATGCTACATATTTTTGATTTTCTATAATAAAAATTCATGTACGATAGCTTGAATAGTAAGAAAAATGGAAGTTAAATTTACCATACATAGAATTTTCTGTAGGTTGTTATCCAAATGGGGAAATCTTATGAATGTTATACTCGCTTCTGTGTTGTGCTGAATTATTTATTCTTTTATATCATGCTAGTTGCTAGTTAATCCATGCCAAGAATTAAGATATCAATGAGTTTATTTATTGAAATGCTGATAAAGTGATATATTTATAGAAATGAGATCCAACAATCCTCGCTTACTTTAGCAGAAATAATTCGCATTCCTAAATAATTCGGTTTAAAACACATGTTAAAAACATCGAATAAGGGTGCATCGAAAGTTATAGTAATATAAGATTTAACAAATATGATTTACTGAGCAAAAGCTCTGTCCTAGAACTCTGCAAACTTTATATACATTGGAATAGTGGCTGGCATAACCTTCAGCCATAAAATATGAGACAATCTTTCAGCAAGATTGAACGGGTCTAAATGCATTTGGGTATTATTAAATAGCGTTTATAAAGCTTCATATAGCAGAGCTATCCACAAGGCAAGTTCATCTAGCTCCATTAATCTAGATATAAGCACTCCTTAATTTTTTAATTAAAAGGGCGCGGGCATTCTTTTGGTATACAGCTTCTTCAGCCAATCCAAGAAGTAGGATGGTTTACAGAGCACTTTCATAGTGAGGCAGATGCTAAGTAATAATGGAATAGAATACAATTAGAAGTGTATTTCTGGCGTGTATTTTCACCATTTTTCAGGAAGTATTGTGCATATATTTTCCAGTATTATTAACCTCGCAGCGAATACGTATATTTATATACATAGAAAGCTAAATTAATAACATATATGAATTTTGACAATCCCTTATTCATCTGATGTATGGATTGACTATTTTTCAAATGATAACCTTTTAGCCGTAGATTTTCTAGGAAATCTGTAGAGATTAATCAATATTTTCTACTTTGATTTGAAATTGTACATAAATCATTTTGAAATCTAACCAAATCTGAGGCTCGATTGCCGATAATTTGCAATACTATTTTCATTGTTTTACCACGATAAGTTAAAAAAATTAAAACAAAAATATTTTCTATAACTAATATCGTTTTCATTGGCAATTTATAAATCTATAAATAGTAAACAAGACCATACTCTTGAAACTCCTAAAATTGTTTATAATTCCGATAGATAAATATTAATAGTCAAGTCAATTAAATAGGAATCATAGTTTTTCTAGTTTAAATCTAGGAAGAGGATTTTTAATTTTATTGCATTTGTGTATTCAAAATTTAACAAGAAATGCATTTGTTTAAGGTTATTTGTGAATGGTAAATTT